AGAACTGGACCTGTAGGACTGAAGTAAAGGCAAAATATAAGTATTTCAGGAGCATGAAGGGCCAGTGCTCTGTGAAGCTCTGCCTAAAGACCATGCAAGGAGAGGGCAGCATTGCTCCCCTGGTGAATAGAAGGAATTTCCAGAAGAAATGCAGATTAGGAATATATTTAGGTTTTCGGTTGCATCTCTGAACACAGATACACAGACATGATACCAGAATTGAATATTTAGCATTCTTTTATCCTATGCTATGGAAGAGGGAGACTTGTGTGGAGAAGCTACTCCAGTGCTCACTAAACACCGGGTCCTGGCAAGCATCACATGTCTCTGAACTTCTCTGAGTACTCAGAATGCATGACTGCGTTCTCTATTCACACCTAGAGATGGTAGCACATGATTTACAGGTTGAAAAGAAAGTGAGAAGGTCTGGAAAGTCTAGGTTTTCTCCTGGCACAACTGCAATCACTGTTTAAATCTCCTCTCTTTCACCTGCGTCCTCCTAACAGTCTCTTTCCCTCTTTGTACGACCTTTTTGGTCTCTTTCCTACTCTAATTGATTGAAGACTTTCATGGTTTCTACAGATCATTCTAATATTCCACTAGACATTGATGTTTCCTTGTAACCTTTCCATTCTACCTTCCCCATTGCCTGACTTCCCTCAACTGGCTTTCCTGTTGCATGTATGACCCTGATACCATAAAGAAATTAACTGGTGTGCAAGATCTGGATAGGGGTTTGATAGAAGAGCCTTGGGTAGACTTGGGCTTTATACCCAGTGTATGTCTAACCACATGGCTGCCCTTTGGTCTGAAGTTTAGCCTCTGATTCCCATATTACACATATCCCATATCTACATATTGAAGATTCTAATGCTTCTCTGAAGGGCAAGTAAAGACTGCACAAAATGTCTCCAGCACAGGACCACAGGGCAGTCCTTCTATAGTCCACGGGCATAACTGCAGCCCATCCTTCCTCTCTGCTGATCTTTGTAAGAAAACCAGTGACTACATTTACAATGACACAATTTCTATTATAACAGCCATTAATAAACAACTATCCAGGTAGTAATACAGAATTTGTCTTTCATTTGATTAAAAAAATTTAAATATGTCAAAATTACTCAATTTTTTTTTTTAAATAGGGTCTTGGCTCTGTCACTTAGGCTGGAGTGCAGTGGCATGATCACAGCTCACTGCAGCCTCAAACTCCTGGGATCAAGCAACCCTCCCACTTCAGCCTCCTGTACAGCTGGAACTACAGGTGCATGCCACAATACCTGGCTAATTAAAAAAAATTTTTTCTGTAGAGACAGGGTCTCACTATGTTGCTCAGGCTGGTCTTGACCTCCTGGTCTGAAGCTATCTTTCCAACTCAGCCTCCTAAAGTGTTGGGATTACAAGCGTAAGCGACCAACACCCTACTGTAATTTGACAATTTAAATTCCAATCAATAATTTTTTGAAGTTCACAATAAATGTGTGTTAAATCCTCAAATATAGAATTCTACTTCTGAGTATGAGGGGGACTATCCCTATATCTATCCTTAGAGAAGCGTATACAATTTTTATGACTAAGTAAAAGAAAACATGGAAAATCCCTGCTTTTTTCCCCCAGAGAATGCCCTTTCCTCTTCCTCTTTTTAAAAAAGCAGCAAGCAAGCCTGGCTCCCGGCACAGTGGGTCTCACTGTGGTGCCAACTCTCCTGATTCCTGAGGAGACCTTGCTCAAGGTCAGCTGAGATGGCCTCAGAGGAGCCACACCTGACTGTACTGCTGGAATCTGATCTCTGAGTCATTCTCTTGGGAAACAGCTGATCTGGAGAGAGGCAAAAGTCAGGGGTGCTGGCATGAGAGGATGATGAGTCATTGACGAGGTACAAACCTCTCATTCTGGAGGACCAGCTTTAGGAAACACCGAGTTGGAAAAAAAGGTGTCTGGGGAAAAGCAGCAAGCATTTTTGGTTAGACCCATTTAACATACAAAATAAATGTGCGAGGGCTGTTGTTCCGAGCAATTTCTCAAATATCTAGCAGGCACCATATTAAAAAGGCGAAAATCTGAAGAGAAGTTTTGAAAAAGGAAACCTTCAAGGAGAAATGGATTTTATCAATTACTTAAGTTTGAATAAGATAACAAGAAACAAAAAACAAAGGAAGCCTTCAGGCTTATTTCCTGAAATTGTAATTACATGCATAACGCACAGATATTGGTGTTTGTGTATTCCTTTAAAAATGACTTACATATATACACTACTCAGGACATTTCATGTTCCAGGATGAAAAAACTCAAAAAGGTTTGACCAAAACAACATTACAATATCATTTTATTTCATGACTTCATTTGCCTTTTAGTTTCCTTAAACAAGGAGCCACTTTTAAAAAGTCCCAGTGTGTTCTCTAAAAACAAAGTAATCTTAAACTCATATATTGAGAGCAGTGAACATTTAATGGCAATAACAATGCACATGAATTCATAAGGCTGCTTATCTGTAATTTAAGAATCTAGGAAAGAAAAATGTTTTAATAAACTTTAAATGCAATAATAACCTGAAAGTTAAAAACATTTGGATACAGATAAGAAACAAATTATGCTTTTCACAGCATTCTTTACAGCACTTTAAAAAATGTTTCAATCTACATGGGAAAACTGATATAAAAACAACTCGAAGTAACTTGCACACATTGACTTAAGGTTATTTAAGAATTAGGTATCTTAGGTATCAGGGCTAGGATTTATGCCTGCAAGCCAGCTGACACTGTGTTGGTGAGTCACATGGCTAAGCTCTTTCTAACCTTCCTGATCTAGGTAAATAATAGTATTGATAAAGCTCAAGCCAGTTACTTATGCCTGTGAAGGTAACTGACTGTCTGCTTTGGATGGTTTGCCTTGATGCCGGGAGGGACCCGCCCCTTCTTGTGTACCTAGGCTATATCAGGCATCTCCATTGCTCTGTCTTGTTACTTTCCCTACACCCCCACTGCCTTGCTGCTCTTCTTACTTGGCATATGAGAAACTGAGGCTCACAGAAATAAAGAAAACCATCCCAGTCCACCCAGCTGGTTACTAAGCAGAGGAGCTGAGGTAATGGCCAGGCCTACTAAACTCTGTAGTTCTTCCCTGGCCACCAGGGCTGCGAACAACTGCTGTCGGCAACCATCCTGGTGAGCAGAACATCACACAGCCATGTACGAGAGAGAGGAGGGGTGGTGGGATCACAAGAGGGAACAACATGTCCTAGCTTGGTTTGACTTCCCAGTTCTAGCACTGCCAAGTCCCATGTCCCAGGAAATCCCTCAGTCATGGGCAAATCAGGATGGATGAGCCCCCTAGAATGGTGCAGAATGAAAAACATGGGACTGTTGGAAGGCATTCCCCACTAAGTACACTGGCACTCGGGTGCAGTTTTACAACCTCAGCTCCACAAGTGCTGGCGATGGCAGATGCAAAGCTCCTTCCAGTCAACAGGAGCCCCAGGCTTTCGTATCAGAGCTTCTTATATCTGAGATAAGAAGATAAGTAAGACGGCGATAAGAGTGAGAGACTTCAGAGTACAGCACTGAGGGGTGTTGTTGGCTTTCTCTTTAATTCCTGTTTCTACAGATTGCACAATTCTGCCCGGCACAGGCTGATTCTTATTTGTCAGCCCAAGTTAGATTCTTAGGTTCTAGAAAAGTGATCGCATCACCTGACAACATCCTGCATAATGCGATAATAATAAATTATGAAATACATGGCTTACTATATAAGCAAGGGTACATTACAAATGGATGCGGGACAGGAAGCTGGAGGAAGGCTGTCAATCAAATCCAAGCATGGGGCCACTCAGAATGTGGGCACTGAGGCTGAGGCTCTGTTCTCCTGAGGGTTGCTCTTTACACTTTTCAACTTGTGGTGGAAATGAGGGAACTGGAGAGCTGTCTTCATTTTCCTAAACATTTCTAACCTCCTCATTTGGTGTTATTGAGCTCTCAGTCCCTCCATAAAAGAGGGAACCATCTGTACTTTGACCACCATTCTTCCACTTCCTTAGCTCCTTCCTGGAAGATCGTCTGACTGTAGGAAGAGACCTGGAAAAAATGTTCCCAGGCTCTCCATCAGCTGTGGGGACCAGAAAGGAGTCCCGGGAGCAGTGGGGATGTGGGGAAAAGTACCCTGCCATTCCCAGGCCTGCTGGCCGGCCATCCTTCAAAGATACTCCACCCCCTCAGTCTCATTTCCTGGACTGGAATTTAAGTTCTGCTTTCTCGATCTGCCCCCCTTAAGGAGCCAGCCTGCAAAGCTCTCTCCTAGTCACCCACTCCCAGTGCCCCTGCTGCTGACCCTGCACCACCATCTCATTCCCCAAGTACAAAGAGGAAACTTCTGGCCAGGCCAGGTGGCTCATGCCTGTAAACCCAACACTTTGCAAGGGCGAGGCGGAAGGACTACTTGAAGCCAGAAGTTAATATCAGCCTGGGCAACATAGTGAGACCCCATCTCTATGAAAAAATTTTTTAAAATTAGCCAGGCATGGTGGTGCACATTCATAGGCTTAATTACTCAAGAGGCGGAGGCAGCAGGATCACTTGACCCCAGGAGTTCAAGGCTGCAATGAGCAACACACCATTGCCCTCCAGTCTTGGCAACAGGGCAAAACCCCATCTCTGAAAAAAAATAATTTTTTTTTTTTAAAACACAGAGGACTTCTAAATTCTTGGGAGATTACCTGATAAACAGCACACAGCATTTAACAAACTAACAACTAGCAGATACGCAGAAGGTGTATCATGAAACCCCTTAGAACGGCAAATGGCCATCACTGATACTTTGGTCCTGGAGAGGACCTCAAAAGGTGGGTATTTTATTTTATTTCATTTTATTTTATTTATTTATTTATTTTTGCCAGAGAGCAAAATATGTGAAACCTCAGCTTCTTTGTCTTAGTGCAATAATGACACAGGTTTTCACAGAGAATCAATACCTCCTTCTCAGAATGGATCAAAGCAAAGCAATATGCTTACCTGAGAGGGGAATGAGTATTTTATGGATGGTAGGCAGAGGTCACAGGAATGCTGTCCTTTCTTAAAATGCTCTCTGCAGCAGGAAATTGCTAAAAAAAATCAAAGGAAGAAAAGATTGCTTTTGCCTTTTTATTTGATAAAAATAGGCAGGCTATTAAATACATTGAGCAACCGAGAATGGTAATTCTTTTAAAAATTAGTCAATGCAGGCTGGGTGCAATGGCTCACACCTATAATCCCAGCACTTTGGGAGGCCGAGGGGGGCAGATCACTTGAAGCCAGCAGTTGGAGACCAGCCTGCCCAACATGGTGAAAACCGGTCTCTACAATCAAACTACAAAAAAACAAAACAAACAAACAAACAAAACCCACAAAAATTAGTTTGGTGTGGTGGTGCTACTCGGGAGGCTGAGGCACAAGAATCGCTCGAACGTGGGAGGTGCGGGTTTCCGTGAGCTGAGATCGTGTCACTGCACTACAGCCTGGATGACAGAGCGAGACTCTGTCTCAAAAATAATAAAAATAGAAACTGATCAATATATTTAAAAAAAGATAGCACACATGTCAGTACACCAAAATGCATTAGTTTTTACTACTTCATTTGGAAACTAAGTGTTTTGTTCACTTCAACTATTGTTTCTTTTTTAAAAGAGACATTTAACCATGGATAGCAATTATACAGAAAGAAGAATATAACATCAAGTTGTGATGAGTTGCATAAATAACGTTTTATGTGACATCATATCTTATTTCCAGGGCTATGAAAAAGTGTTAGAGTTTTAAGGGGCCTCAGAGCCTCTGGTTCTATAGCCCCATCTACAGAACTGGAAACTGAGGCCCATTCAAAGTGAGAGGCTCCACAGCACCACTCAGCTGGCTGGGGCAGAGCTCTTGATTGCCCCAGGAGCACCCTTCATCTGCACTGTAGCACTCCCATGCCAGGAATCATTAATTCTCTCATTCATTCAACAGGTACTGACTGAACACTTTCTATGGACCAAGTACTGTTCAAGGCTCTAGGGGTTAAGACGAAAAACCTCTGACCTCATGGAGTTTACATTCCAGAAAGGGGAAACTAAAGAAATAAACAAATACAGTAAATACTATCTCAGAATGTCCCAGTGAGGTGGCTCCATTAGAGCGAAATCCTTCAGGCAGTGGGGGAACAAGCCATGGGCTCTCTGGGGAAGCACATTCCAGGCAGCAGGGGGAGCAGCAGCGCCACTCTCCACGCTGTGCAAAGACACCGGAGGTCGGTGTGGCTGTGAGGGTGGGGGATTGGTGGACACTGTGTGGCAATGGATAGGCCCACCAATGGAAAGTCGGTGTCATGGACAGGCAAGCTGATGAAGGCCAGAGCGTTGGAGAATAGCTACTTAAAGAGGGGTAGCAAAGGAGACAGGGAAAAAACAAACCACAGACAAGAGAGCAACACAGGAGAATTGTTTCCTGTCCTGGAGGTCCGCTGGGTTAGAGAGCTGCTCTAAGGGGCTACCATCCAACTCAGGCAGTGGGGTGGGGTCTGGAGGGCGGGAAAAGTAAAGCCTGCACATTTTACAGCGTTTGAAAAAGTAAGTGTGGAAGCCTGACTAGGGTAACACATGACAGAATTAGGAGGATTTCCTGACTGCAGGATCTATAGAAGTAGAAATGCAAAATCTGTTTCCATGTAGAGATTTTACTGGTGGCAAGATCTTCTGCAAATAGGTGACCCCTAAAGTGGACTTCTCCTCCAAATTTGACAAGATTTAAAATTTAAATCCAATTAAATGTATAAGAAAAGCAAACACCTTCAAGGTGAAATCCAAGTGTTATAATCCAGTCTCAAATTTTACAAGCTTGTCTTTAATGAGCACATACAAGATAAATGACTTTCAGGAGTCTACATGCAGCCAAGAGTAAATGACAATTCCTGCCAATGCGAACAGTTCCAAAAGTAATCACTAAATTACTTAAGAGTATAATAGCAATCAAAGTGTTTGGTGATTCATCTAAGATGCATTTCTAAATTCTGGATACGTTAAAGAAAACTTCAATTCCCACAGGATGTAAATCTACGAACATATTTCCATGTAACAACCTAGTGTGTATTCTGAGAAGAGTTAGCAGGTAGAAGAGAAATGATACTTTACATGTATTGAAATCAATAAAAAACACAAAAACAGAATATGAAGCTAGGCCAGCTTCAACTTAATGCTGAGTTGTGAATGTGATGTCAAGATGGGCAGGAAATAGTAAGTTATGGGTTGGGTACCATCTCTCCTCTCCTGAAACCCTCCCTGGCACTCCTCACCCCCTTTCTAAAAAACTGGTTGCCCCTCCTTGGTATCACCAAACTATGTATCTCTATCTGCCTCATGCAGCCCTATTATTATTAATTTAGCTGCTTCTCTTCCTCAGTAGTCACTTCTTACAGGAAGGGACTGTGCCTTCTTTCTCTTGATAAAGCTTAGCACAGAGCTTAGCACATGGTGAGTGTCCATGACCATAGAATACTACAATGAAAAATAACTACACTTAGATGAGAGGCCTAATACCTTTTCACATATTTTTCCAATCCAGGCAACTTTAACAGGTCAACCCTGAAATATTTATCAATTGCTAATGACAAATACCTATATGGTTTTTGGATTATCACAGATGCCAAGTGACCAGCCACAAATCCACCTATAGATATTACCATGGAAACTCTTACATGCAGTATCATGCACTACCCATTTCTCTTTCCTCTTCACAAATATTTTCCACACCTTGTTCAGCCCAGTTACTTTGCAGCACATCATATTTTTCATGGAATGACTTCATTTTGAAACTAGTGACCACTTTTCCTATTTAGACCTCAGGAGAAAATGTTAGAAAGTATCCCTTATAACAGAAAATGTTTTAATTTTAAAATATAATATTTATGCTTATGCTGATAGACCTATTGTTGTTTGGTCAGAAACATCATCAGTAAAGAGTTACAGAATTTTAAGGAGGAAAAAGAACAACATTTCAAAGTGTCCAAAAAATTTCTTTTTATTTTCCTGTCACAGAAACATGTAAAGAGTCTTCTTAATCTAGTTTTTAAAACGTTAAGATGTGATACATCAGAAGATAAAAGCACATATTTTGGTTACTTTACAAAAACATAAATAACACTTGTTTAATTATGTTGTAAAAAGCCCCTTCGGTGTATATTGAAAGTCCCTTTGGGATATCATAATGCCGGTGCATTACACAGTACACAGATACATTCATATTTAAATTTTTTAAAAAGTTCCTCCTCCACACAGAAAGTCTTTAAGACCCAGCCCTAGAGATCTGACATCACTTAGAGCTACTTTCTACATCTTTCCATGACACACACCTCAAAGGGGCTCCCCCAAAAGGAACTCTAGACAATGTTTATGTGTGCCCAAGGCTTTCAAAGTAGAGAAAACCTTCTTGGAAATTATTTAAGACTAAGGCAATTTAGGGAGCATTTCAGGAGACAGACACACAGAGACAGAGATCGATCCACACCAATTTATCCTTCCCAAAATGAGTGTCCAAGCCTAACTGTTGATTCCCAGAAAGGTTTTTCTGCACATCCACACAGAAGAGCACAGCAGGCAGAGGGAGGGAGGGAAATGAGAGAGGAGCCTGGACTTCTGGAAAGAGCAAAACCACTCTCACTGAAACTGCACTCTCCGCCACTGGTGCGTATCTTCTGCAATGGGAACAGGCGTGGTTTGTATCAAGGAAGTGGAATGTGAAGTAGAACGACTGTTCCCAGATTCATTTCACCACACAAGGTGTCCAAAACCTGAGAATGTCGCCAGCGGGTTCAAGTCACAAAGACACTGTATTACAAGCAACAACTACCAAACTTTCTTATTATAGATGATACTCTATTACAATTCAAGGCAAGCTTTCATAATATTCATTTTTTTCCCCTTAAAAATGTTATTTGGATGCAATTTGCACTGGATGATTTACTATCTACCAGGATGGACTTGGAAGGGAATGTGGAGTGGGGAAGGAGGCACGGTTGGTCAGTACTCTGAAGTTTACTCTGTCAAAGAATATACTGAATCCCTTTAACCAGAATATAGTTCTAGATCAGAGCAGGTATTTGAACAAATCATTAAAATTGCATCATTTGGCTTTTCAGGAGCAGAGAAATAATTCCTGATGGTTTTCAGAGATTGCAAGGCTCTGGTGATAGCAGACGCATGGTGGCTGGCAGCCAGCCGTGTGACTGGTGATTCAATACACAAGTTTCTGTGGACTCTACAGCCTGATATGGGAAGGACATCAATTTTTAAGTTTGATGAATAAGTAAAAACAAAGGAAGTTTTGGTATAAAACAGGACACTATGGAGAAGGGACACTGAGAAGGAAAAACTCATGTTGCATTTATTTGGGATATTTGAACCTCAGTCTTGCCCATTTAAATATTTTTCTTTTAGAATGTGCCATTTTTTAATCACAGATTATTTAAGATTATCAATTTTCAGGCAAAAAGTAATAGAAATAAAAATGTTGTCAAACAGTAGACAAAGTAAGTGGTAAGAACCCCACCTTCCTGAGACTTCATTTCAACTCCTAACGCAATGTCCCTGCTAAACAAAGCCATGAGACGAAAATTTCTCTTTCAAGCACAGCTAAATATACACTTTAAATATCTCTGGCAGAATGGGATATGTTAACCCTCTCTGTATTTAAAAGGCTTAATAAAAACTACAAAAGGTGAGACAAAGAAAACCATCCAAAATGAAGGCTGCACACATCTTTGAAGAAACAATAGCACATTACTTCTGCTAAGGCACAGCTTCAACATCAGGAGAGTCACTGCCCTGTCCTAATTAGAGTGTGTTTCACTAAATTCTTCCTGATCATTCACTATTCAGCACAGTGTGGACTCAATGCAAACAAAGTCCACTGAGTACTGAAACGCACCTACAAAGACACCCAAACTGATGCAACATCGGGCTTTCCAAAACAGAAGCGAGCTGGTAAGCATCACTCCCAAGCACACACACGCACTCTTGAATCCAGGTAAAAACATGATTCCTTGGTGAATACTGTAAACAGGGTAGCTGTTTACCAGGCAAGCCTGCGGGAGAATGTATTTTCATATGGAATGCTGGAGTACCCATGGTATTAACAAAGCAGAATCAGATTAAACAGATGACACGATGAACATACTTCATTTCACGCATGGCCGTGTTTTTCGTGAGAGATAGACTTAAAGTAATTACCATGAACTGAGTCTCCTTCACTGACCTCCCACCGCTGCTGGCTGTCCTTAACGGCTGATGCTCCACAACAAAGACGAACGCCTTCTCTTGGGAGCCTTATTCCTTCTTTAACGTTACCAGCCGAGCACCTCCACCGTTGCAAGAACACAGTACAGCACCTCTGTATCTATGTCTCTAATGCAGCATAAAGATTACTGTGGAAACCTATCACACAGGCGAGCAGCAACGCCACCAACCAATAAGGAAAAGGCACATGCGGAATCCAGCACATGCTCTCTGAGACGCAGGCTGTCACCGGCGTTTAGCAGCCTGCTAATCTAATTATAGCTGGTTTGCTAGCACAGAGCCATTGGAGCAAAGCACAGGAGAAAAGTAAATTTTAATAAATTAAACCTCATAGACAAAATCATCTCGACTTCCTGTCACTTTGAGGATTAATGTGTCACCTGATAAACTATAAGTGATTTTTAAAGTGTATTCTTATTTTCCTGAAATCTAGAGAAACAAAGAGTGGTTAAATCAATGCACAGCACTATCAGCTTAGTTAAGCTTATCAGATTCCAGCACTAAGAATAAATAATAAAATTGATACTGTGAAAATAATAGTGGTGCTATAAAATCTGAGTCTTACTTTATTTACCCTAATTAACAATTTGCCACATATTTGTCATAAAGTGCTAATTAATCTCTCTTCAATATAGTTGGAAATACCATGCAAATTTCTATCTATAGCGGAAAAGTGCTAATCAAGGTGTAAAAAATCATAATCTTGACTACAGTGATTAATTCACAGTTACAAGGGACAGAAAAGGGATCTCAGAAGTTATTGTAAAAGGAAAAATCAAACACATTTGGCCACTACACAACTGAACGGCCAAACTACTTCTAGACGCCAAATCCTGTGACGCGTTCTCACAGTCAGACTGCCTCAGTTAAAGTTCTGGATCTGCCACTACCTAGCTCTATGACCCTGGGCAAATAACTGCATTTCTTTGTCTAAGACAATGATAGGAGCCACCTTGAAGAGTTACTGTCAAAGAGCTGTAAGTGCTTAGCACGGAGCCTGGCACAGGGTGGATTCTGGGTTCTATATTAAGCTCTTATGAGCAGTAGTGATCTCAACCACTCCATATTGTCTCCCTTTCTTTCCAGCATCACAGCACTCAAAAGAGTACCTCAACACGCCTCCATTGTACAGTTCTGTCAGAAATACCACTCAGAAGTCATGAAGGCCAAGAAGCTAATGGTAGGGTTGATTAATCACACAGAACCATTATTGGTATTCACTGTTATGAGGCAAATTATTTCCCCTACTTCTTTTTAGATATGTAAGAGTCACTACTTTCACTTGATTCTATACAAACCTATCTTAAAAATAATTTTTCAGGAAATTAAGGGCTTCTAATTATTTTTTTTAATGATATAAATTTCAAAAATGTTTTCTATGGAATATAAATTGGGAAAAGTTTTAATTAGAAGGAGTTGGATTAAATTTAAAATGACAAATTTATGTTGAAAAGGGAGAGAAGTCAGCCAGTCAAATGCAACTCTCAGTTCTGAGAGTTGTTTATCTACTTCTTTTCCCTTAATTTCTTTTTTGTCAATATGTTCTACAGAATTAGCAGTCCTGAGCCGATCTAATCAAATTTGTAAATGTTCAACGGTTTTTTTTATATTCCCTACAAGTGGGTATATTCTACCAGTCAAATTCCAATCCAAAGATAAAATGCAAACTTCCCATTTCTGTAGTTTTTTTTTTTTTAGCTAAAAACCAAAAAGCTGACACGCTGAAGAGGCATTATGATTTGCTCTGAGGAACCAAATCTTCCCAGGGATTAATTAGTAGCCAAGAAACAGGACTACTGGCGAAGGGGCACTTCATCCTCCAATCTCTGTGTACCACAAACTGTTGGGAAATAAACCAGTGAAAGGAATGACATGGACCATAAACCTCAAGGGAAAGCACAGAAACTCATGGTCCATAAATTCAAGAGTGAAAACCTGTGCTGGAATGCAAACACATACACAAACCCTGGAAAAATGTGGAGATAACTGGCTAAAGAAAGTGAGAGCTGTGTGTGCTACCTTGAAGCATCTTCCTCCTGAATTATCAGAGTGCAATCACCATCATCAGGAGGTAAAAACTCCAAGAGGAATTGGCTTCAGAGATTTGGCCTAAGGCACAGCTCCCTGCAGGCTGCCAGGATACAGGCTAGTAACACTTCCAGGCATTTCTCTAGGAAACATCTAACAGCTTCTGCCTTCCTCTTCATTTAACAGACTGCTAGCTCAAAATAGGCACTGAAAAAGCTGTTTAATTAATTTGTTTCATGCCTGTTTAGTAGAAGACATTAAACAGACACTTTCTAAAAGAAGAAAGCTACTGTCCTTTCTTGGGTCTTATCTTTCAACATGTTCAGACCCAGTATTTGTTTTAGAGCTGAGTAACAGTTCATTGGGAATCTTTCTTATTGCCACTTGGCTAAGCGGGGGCCTATGTATACAGCCTCTGGAATGAGCCCTCTTGTCTTTGAACTTCAGTCAACACACTTTTGATTCTGAAAAATCGTTTGTGTGCTCAGTGAATCATGTTAGGCCCTTACTATGTGTAAGGACTTGTGCTGGACCCTGGAAATACTGTAGGGAATAACAGAGCATTCTGATTCCTAAAGGAGCTTCTGTTGTAATGTGGGAGTGCTCATTAAGTGATTAACAAACAAGCAATAAAGATCAGGTAAACTGCAGCTCAGCACAGGATGCTCACATGACAGGGGTGGAGGATCTGGCTAAGGATGAAGCAGGTTTGCCGGCTTCCTCAGCAGGAGCATGGGGAAAGACCTTCAAGAGCTGTGAAGGTCGTGGAGAAGCTGGCTGGGGGCAGTGGACGGAGGAGGAAGGAGGAGACACAACCACACACACTAGAGGAGGAAAGGGTTTGTTTGGCTCAAGCTCCCTGAGGGTCTGACCACCGCTTCTCTCCTTCTGGATGTTTGTAGATTCCCATTATCTTCCAAGTCGAAACCCTCATCTCCTCTTCCTGGCTCAGAGAATGCGGACGTGTACATTTTACATTTGCTGTACTGACGAGGAGGAGCAGGCACTACAGAAACCTTCTGCCTCACTGCATGGATTTCCTCAAGTTCTGTTCTCATTCTCTAACCCTGGAGACTGAAAATGAGGCTGTGTTTCCAGAATTTTCATATAGAATTGTTACAACTGTTACAGTTTTTTCGCCTTGGAAAAAAGTTAGGGTTCATGTATAAAAAATGATTCTGTTGAAAGCCAGGGCTCCGGGATAACATTAGAGAGATCATAATATTCCGGCAGGAAGTATCTCGGTTTCAGCTGCTGGTCAAACACTATCTTAATGAGAGGGGTCCTGGAGAGCTGTTTCTGCTCTGATGAACTGCACCAGGGCCTGAGAAGGAGGCCTGGCTGCACGTGGGGCTATTGCGTCTGATGTTAAAGGCGTTTGAGCCGTGGTCCAGCAGAAGCCTTGGGCCCCAGCCCACATAAGGAGTGGAGGGCAGCGTGGAGGGTTGAGTGCTGAACAGCGTTTCTATCAGGGGACCTCAAGCCACAACATGAAGTCACTGCAGGCAGAGCTGGGCACAGAAACCAACAATCCGCTCCCCAGTCAATGCGAGCCGGGTCCGGGGAACCACCAGGATCACCCCACATTGAGGAAAAGAAAAGAATACCCAGGCTGTGAAAGTCTCCTTCTGGCTACCAGGGGCAAGACAACTGGTGGGCAAGAGTCCAGGCAGCTGGTGCCCCTTCCTTCTCTGTTTCTGACACTCAAACAGCAATCTTTCTTTTTTTGTGAAGAGTGTGGCATACCACGCACTTATTCAGCTGTGGCCTGGTTGGCCTGGGGCAGACTGAAACTGGCTGCTAGAAGTCACTCCTGCTGCTCCAAAGGCCATGGGCAGCAGCCCTGGCCCCAGCTCCCCCACAGACACTTGGCATCCCTGTGCCATGAGGCAGCCTCACTGTCTGAAGAGGTCCTCAGTGGCTCCCCAGTACCTGTGCATCAGCCCCGAATACCAAGTGTGAGTTCTCAGAGAGGTTGCCCGCTGAGAGGGACAATGATGTTGGACAATGACCTTGCCGGGTACAAAAGCCCTGAGCAGACCGCTTGAGTCTTCTCTGCAGGGCTCGGTTTAGAAGCCAATTGTGCATCCTGAGGTGTCTTCTCAAAGCCTAGTTTTTCTTCTTCCTCAAATGATCGGCTTTTTATAGTACTGGTGAAGGGGGCAGGGTACTACGAGGCTCGGGAAGGGGTATGAATTAAAGAGGTTACTAGGACTCTCACACTGGAGCGGGAACTTGGTTCTCATAGTTTCTTGTCATCAGGGCTCCTCCTCCCTGTCCTCATAATGACGTTTAACTCATACTTATTTACTCCTATCATTTGCCCAATACTGTGTTAGGATGAGGAGGGCAAGGACCTTCCAAACCAGCAAAGGAGACAGATTCAACAATGCCAATGACTAAACCTGAACAGGGCTTTAAAATTGCAAAGGAAACGTCACATATAGTATCTGCTTTGAGAATCCCCAAAATGCTGTTGGGTAGGTATTCTTATCTTCTCACTAAGAGATATGGAAATGCCAGGGGGGTTACGGGACTTGCTCAGCGACTCCAGACTCAATTCATTGCTAACACTCAATTCATTCCTACACACAAAAATTATTTATAATTATCCCATGGGCATAGTAACTGGATAGGATTAATCTAATATATAATAAAGCCATAATAATTACATATTACAACCTATTAATAATTAGGTATTAAAATCATAAACAGATATTATTGTTTAATGAGAGCTATGAATTCTGTTGCAGAAGTCATCCTAAGACTTTAGCTTCTCTTCTGTTCTCAGATCATACCATGGTTTTGGATGTTAACAGGCATCCTCTAGGTTATGAAAGTGTTTACCTCATTATTCATCTCTGTACCACCTAAAAGACCTGGAATTCCTTCTATATGGACCATGGAATAATTCCTATAAAATTTTAAATTACAATACATGGGCAAATACCCTAAATTTCAGTTTTGTCTTCTAAAGCGAAATGTCCACCATTTCAGTGATGTGCAGGTTCTGATAATTTGAAGTAGTCCCATTCAGCCCCATCACCAGCTCTTTAATGCATCTCTACACTTACTGTCCAAAATCAAGGCATATAATCTTGCATGGGTAAAGCATGCTGCTGTTTTTAAA